CCTTGTGGTGACCGCTTTGTTGGGGTGCGAGCGCTCCTTGGGGAAACTCTGGGAATACGACCAGACCAAAAAACCCGTCATTGAAATCCTTCCAGCACACAGCCACCCTCTAGGACAGGATAGATCGCGCCCTGCGGGTTTCCTAGACGACAACGCTTTGTTGTCGCTGTTAGAGGCCATCGAACTGGCTCTGACCCACGGTGACCCAATGCACCACAAAACACTGCCTGGTGGTCCTGCAGCATCCAAACAATTGTTCCTGTGTTTGAGCCCGTGGTTACAGCCACGGAGTCCGTCCATCTCCTTGAGGGCTTTCCGCTTGGTCAGTGTCCTCTGCTTTGTCAAGCATGATGTCCTTCTCCAGGGACGGGTCTCTCTTGACAACATGTCCACAGTATGTAAGATGAAGAGTCACCATCCTTACCTCTAAGGAGCACTCTGGCCGTACTCCTTCCAAGATAGATTTGTTTGGCAGTCCATGGTACGTTCAATATTCTTTCTCCAGCACCACAATTCAAGGGCATCCATTCTTTGGTCTTCCTTAGCCAATGTCCCACGTCCACATGCGTCTGAGGTGATTGAAAACGCCATGGCTTGGGTCAGGTGCACCTTAGTCCTCAAAGTGACACCTTTGCTTTTCAACACTTTGAAGGGGTCTTGTGCAGCAGATGCACCCAGTGCCATCTCTTGATGGGGTTTTCCAGTCCTGGAAAGGGTTACGGTCCTGGAATCCCACAGGGGCAGTTCTACCCTGTCTTGTACGGTTGCTAGAGGTGGGAACTGGCTTGGTGGCAGGGAGAGTTTAATCTGCTTGAGAGAGAGCTAGAGAGACGTAGTCTCCCTGGACAGCACAGGTCAGCTCCCTGTTATTCACCAAAAGATTGGTCAGTTGAGTCCACTGAGAATTGCCACAGAAGAAACGCCGAGAAACCTACTTCCCACAAAACCATTCATGGGAATCCTGGGAGCACACTTCTCCTCTACTCCTGGGGTCCTCGTTAAGTTGACAGCAACTGGTTTTGTACACACACACACACACACACACACACACACACACACACACACGGTTTCCAAACGTTTGTGGGAAAATTCCCTTTGCCACACACTTTTTGTAGCCTCCTATGGATACCTAAGTATGTATGTCCCTAGATGTGTGTATGCACATACACGTGCATACAGATCTATGTATGTAGATGGCATGTTCTTGTCGTTAGGTGCCGTTGAGCCAGTCCAACACATGGTGACCAATGAACAGCAGAACAAAACACTGCCTGGTCCTGGCCGTCCCCCATCGTTAGGTGCCAGCCCATTGTGGCAGCCCCGGTGTGGCTCCAGCTCAGAGAGGGCCGGCCTCTTTTGCACGGCCCTTTTAACTTCCCAAGTGTGGTGTCCTTTTCCAGGGACTGGTCTCTCCTGCTAACATGCCCAAAGGACTCGCGACAGAGTGTGGCCACCGTTGCTTCTAAGGAGCACTCTGAGGGCACTTGATCCAAGACAGATAACTCGCTCGTTCTTCTGTCAGATCATGGTGCTCTCAGTATTCCTCGAGCTCCGTGAATCAAATACATCGATTCTTCGGTGGGTTTCCTTATTCATTATCCAATTTTCACATGCATACGAGGCCATTGAAAATACCCTGCCATAGGCCAGGTTCTCTTAGTTCTCAAATAACGTTCTTGCTCTTCAACTTTCAAGAGGTCGTGTGCAACAGATTTACCCAGTGCAATACTTGCTCTGATTTTTGACTGCTGTTTCCATAGCCTTGATGGTCAATTCAGGCAAGATGAAACCCCTTCTGACTTCAATATCGTCTTCATTTGTCCCGATGTTGTCTATCGGTCCAGTTGTGAGAACGTTAGCTATCTTTATATTGAGTTGGAATCCATACCCAAAGATGCCTCCTTGAGCTTCCTCAGTAAGTGCTTCACGTTCTCCTCCCTTTCAGCAAGCAAGGTTGTGTCATCTGCAGATCGCAAGCTGTGAACAAGGCTGAGTCCACATTCTTCCACATGAAGCCCAGCTTCTCAGACCATTGACTCAACACACAGAGTGACTAAGTATACGTAGTGAAAGGGTGCAGCCCTGGTGTACATCTTTCCTGATGCTGGCCTCTGCAGTGTTCCCTCATTCTGTTTCAACAACTGCCTCTTGGTCCAGGATCAGGTTCCACGTGAGTACAGGTACGAGTTCTGGAATTCCCATTCTTCTCAAGGCTATCCACTGTTTGGTATGATCCACACAGTTGTATGCCTTTGCAGAGTCAATAAAATACAAGGAAACATCTTTCTGGTATTCTCGGCTTTCGGCCAAGATCCATCCAATGTCAGTAATGATAACCCTTGGTCCATGTCCTCTTCTGAATCCAGCCTGAACCTCTGGCGGCTCCCTGTCAAGGTGTTGCTGCAAACATTGTTGAGCTGTCCTTAACAGAATGTTACTTGCACGTGATATTAATGGTACCGTTCAATAATTTCAACCTCCTTTTGGGTCACCTTTCTTTGGCATGGGCACACACAAGATTCCCTTCCCGTCAGTTGGCCAAATGGCTTGGCATCGGCAAGTGAGTGCTTCCAGTGCTCCATCAACTTGGTGAGACATTTCCGTTGATATTCTGTCCGTTCCTGAAGCCTGGTTTCCACTAACGCCTTCAGTGTAGCTTAGACTTCTTCCTTCAAGACCAGCGTCCACGATCATATGCCACCGCTTGAAATGATTGTGTGTCAAGCCGTTCTTTTGATGCTGTGCCTCTGCGTCCCATCTTCTTTCGATGCTTTCTGCATCGCTCGCTTGTTTTCTCAAAAAATCCTTCAGGATTGAAACGTGAGGCTTGACTGTTTCCTTCAGGTCTGTCCGTTCAGGTTTCTGCACGTTTCATCCTAATACTTTACTTTGCAGCTTTCTGTTCCGGTCTTTTACTGCATTTCCTCCATTTGTCTTAACGACTCTGTTTTCAGGAGCAAGTCTCGGAGGTTCTTCTGATAGCCACCTTGGTCTTTTCTTTCTTGTCTTTTAATGATCTGCCGTCTTCGTCCCGCATCTCATCAGGCCTGCTGTCACCAGTCTTCGACAAGTCAGCCAGGTGCTTGAGACGGTCTCCCGCATCCAGGTGGGAGAGACTGAAGGTGGTGGTTTGGCTCTTGTGGGCTTGTTTCCGTTTTCTTCAGCTTTAGCCTGAACTTCCACACGCCCCACTGACAGACTGTCCCGCAGGCAGCCTCTGGCCTGGTGTTAGCTGCTGAGATTGGTCTCCCTTCATCTCTTCCTACAGAGCTGGTGAGCTTGGTTTCTGTGTACTCCACCCCAGAGGTCCATGTGCACAGTCATCATTCGCGCTATTGAAAAGAGGAAGTTGCCAATGAGGATTTTGTCTTGCGAAATTCTATCATGTGATTTCCAGCTTTGCTTCTATCACCAATGGTTCCTTCTTTGTCTCCAGTTCTGACATCTCAGTCACCCATCATGATCAACGTTTCTTGATTGTGTGTGTTATCAATTCCAGACAGAAGAGGTTGGAGAATTCTTCCATTTCTTCATCACTAGCCTTAGGGGGTGGTGAGTAAATTTGAATCACACTCATGAACTAGACTTCCTTGTTGTTGTTGTTGTTGATGATGATGATGTTTGGTGCCCTTGAGTGAGTTCCAACTCATAGCGGCCCCACGCACAACAGACGGAAACACTGCCAGGTCCTGTGCCAACCTCACTATTGTTCTTCTGTCCGAGCCCACTGTGGGTGCACAGATATTATCCCGCCTCAGACAGCACTGCGCTTCAAGATCGATCTTGTGATGTTCTTTTCGACCGTGAATGGGACACCATTCCTCTTGTGCAGGAAACCGTCTTATTATTGGACTCGAAATGGCCACTCTCAGTCCATTTCGGCTTACTAACCCCTAAGATATTGATCTTCATGCGTTCTATTTCATTTTTGACGGCTTCCGATGTTCCTAGATTCATGATTGCATGCATGCCGCATGCTGATTATTCAGAGCTGTGCTCCGCTGTTTCTTCTCATCTTGAGTGGCACCGCGTCAGCAGGTGAGGGTCTCAGGTGAGGGTCTCAGGTGAGGGTCTCGGCTCCAGCTCCATCCACGTCACTGC